GAAAAGGAAGAGATTGAGAAAGGAGAGGGGAAGACGGCCGTTGATCGGCGAGGAGGAGAGGGGGAGTTTAGGGTTAGGGAAATATTTCTTTATTGATTGAATAATAAAATCATGCATAATGGCTACATATATAGATGGTTGATCTAAAGAGTCCTAGCCATAAAAGGTAACTAAATAAATTAAAATACTAATAACCTAATATAATAATACTTCCTAATAATAATATAATTATCTAACCATAAATAATGATAATAGTAATATAATAATAATGGTAAATAACTAAATATAGTCCGGTATCATAACGTCAAAAATTTAAAACATTTCAGTTTATTACATCATAATAAACTATTCATAATAGTAATGGAGTTTCATAAATTTGCAGAAGCCTTAATAAAATGTTTTACATCACAATCATCAAATATAAATAATTCATTTTTGAAATATTTATTAAACAGTTGGAAATTATCACACATCGGTCCGACATCTTGTCCCCATATGCCACCATGATCATCATCACATCATTCTTTATTCTGTTTACCTGCATGTAGCAAATAAAATATCATTCTTTATTCTGTTTACCTGCATGTAGCAAATAAAATATACTACACGCTCAACGATGAAGCTGAGTGAGGATATTTAATGCATTGAACATCAACATAAATTGAATCATAATTCATAACCAAATTATATAGTATCATGCAAATAATACACAGTTTAAATATTCAATATTCACGGCATCAATAATACTCTTAAACTATTCTTAGTCCAATGCCAAATCATAAAAGTGCTCTTAAACTATTCTTTGTCTAAGGCAAATTCATATTAATAACAAAGCTCTTAAACTATTCTTAATTTAAGGAAATTCACAAAATCATGACCTATCCTAGGAGTCTGTCACACTCAGAAACATAACATCGGTCTTCTCATCATTGAGTTGGGTGGTATCCCCAAACAAGTAATCCTCTAGTTTGGTTTATAGATCCAGTACGTACGTTTTAACCCTGGCCACCAAACATCATACCCGCAAGGGCTAACTACTTTAGTCACATGGGGTCTATCCTAGAGTTTTTCTAGATAGCGTTAATTGTTCATAGTCATCATTTAATCAGGTTATTATTTATTTAATCAAGGTTCAATGATCATAATAAATAACAATGATCATCACAATATTTAAATAATAAGTAGTGGCCTAGCGTCGAGTGTTAACACCCTAGCTTATCATCACGTATCAAATAAGATTCTTAAATTGATCAAAACATCATATTTAACTTGTAAATGATATTCATACGGGTTTATAGTTGAAAAGTTGCGAAATAGGATTTTACAACTTTAAAATTTGGATTTTTTAGTGCTGAATGGACAGTGAAGGTCGATCGTTACCATGCGACGGTCGACCGATATTGCCACTGCTCAACTGGACATGCGACAGTCGACCGTTACCGTCTAGCGGTCGATCGTTTCTGGTAAGGAAGTGAAACGAAGGACTGCTAGAGAGACGGTTGACCATATCGGAGAACGATCAACCGTTCAAGCTCGATTCAAACTTCCAAAATATGGAGTACCATTTTAAGTTACCAAACTTTAATTAAACTATATAAAAATATCTCTATCATTCATTGATCATTTTTAAACCATTATATTAATTCGAAGCTTTACTAACAATTTGAAGGTTTATGATTCTTGGTTCATCAAAAATATATTTTGAGCTTTTATAACACATAACTCAACCCAATGACCTTTTATGAACGTATAAACGATCTATATGAACATTCTAATCACTAGATATATCTAAGGGCTCACCTCGAGCTTAAACGTAGGAAATGGAAATTTTATAGCAAACACGACTTTCTTTGGCAGTTACGAGGTTAGCGAACTACTGCGGCATGCTCTCCACACTCTCAGGAACACAAAGAAAGAAGAAGGAGAAGTAATGGTGCAGCATTGAGGGAGATAGAGGAGTCCTTACGCCTCTCCCTGATTGGTGCAGGGAATGGTGCAGCATTCAACGATCAACATAGTGGAAGGAACAACAATTTTGGTTGATTCCATACGCCTCTCCCTGATTGGGACTCAATTTGTCCCAATCGGGGTACACGTTTTAGTCCAACTTTCTCCAATTTAAAATCTAATTGCATCGTTAGAACCTAATAATTAAACTCTACACAACGGTATAATTTCAAACTTATTTGACAAACTTTATAAATCACTTATTTTTTGATCCATCTCAGTATTTAGTTAATTAATTATCAATTAATTAATTCTGATAGACTTATTTTTGGGGCATTACATTTCTCTCCCCCTTAAAATGATATTGTCCTCAAAATTACCTGACTTTTAACAAACACGAGAAAAGTTGAAAGTGAGTATTTTAAATATGCTCATTCATAAAGGGGGCCTGTTTGTTGCATTATCTTTACTCCCACCTAACTCACTTTGAAGTATATTGTTTGTCAACATCAAAAGAGGGGAGATTGTTAGTCTTGATTGGCTAAATCTCCTGTTTTGATGTTAACAAACAATATAAGAGCTAACGCTTGTTTAAGTGTTTTAGGTACAACAAGAATCCATTAAGATTCGATTCTCAAGAACGAAGTTGAAACACTAAACTAGCGTAGAATTTAGGTAGAAACAAATGTGAGGATATGATTTTATATACCTATACTCACAAGCTTTAATGCACTCACAAAATATGTTTAAAACAAGCTCATAACACACTACAAGAATTTGTCAAATCTGCAATGGACAAATTCTGTCGCAGTTTTGGAAATTCCGTAGCAAATTCATAATCTGCAACGGACCTGCGACAAACTTTGTCCATCGCAAAAAACTTGTCGCTAGGCCAAAATCTGCGACGGAGAAGAACATCCGTTGCAGATCTGCGACGACATTTGCAACGGGGTTCTTTCTGCATCATTTTATTCAATTCTGCGACGGACACTTTAGTCTGTTGCAGATTCCATCGCAGATTTGCAGCAATATGAACCAGCTTCTACAAATTTTACTTATTTTTTAGCCCAAGCACTACACTAATCAATGATTCAAAATGAAAGATCACTAGAAACATTTAAGTGTCATAACATCATTACACAAGCATAATTATAAATATTTTTGTTATATCTTAACGAGTCATTACAAAAACAATTAAATATCATAAAGATATACTTGATATATATGATACAATTTGTTACTCACTTATTTTTTACTAATTGACATACTTTATTCAAGTTATCAATCCGCTACCGCTATTTTAATCTTTTGTTCCTATCTTTCAAGCCCACAATTTCTACAGCACCACTTGTACTCTTATGCATTGTTGATCTCATCTCCACTCTTATGCATTGTTGATCTCATCTTTGTAATTCAATGGTTGAACACCAACCAATCTTGACCATGATTGAATCTATAACTCTTTAGTCCCAATTCCTGAAAAAAAAGTATTAAAAAAAACAGCAATTGGATACTTACATTATGTTTGGTTCAAGGAATTTGAAAGGGAAAAGAAAAGAAAATGAAGTGGAAAACTATTTTTCTTGTTTGGTTAGAGGGGAAAAGAAAGAAAAAGTGGAAGGAAAAGAAAATAAGGAGACAAAATGTACCAAGTGGAGGGAAAATCAAATTCCTTCCATTTTGGTGAGGAAAATGAGAGAAAAACATTTTCTTTTC